GCTGTAGAGTTCTGTGCAACATTCTATTTATGCAACATTTTATTTTATTTGAAATAGGATACTTGGTACATTTCAAGAAGAAAGAAATCTATTGGGACTGATCGTGCAGTACAGCCTAAAGGAAAGTTATACCATCAGTACACGAAATTAATAAGTAAACTTAGAAAAGCAGAACTTCGCAAATTACAGGAAGAAGAACAAGATGTTGATAACTCTCCTAATTGTAATGGTATGAAAATACAATATTTTGATTTTTTAATTTTTCAATTTTTAAACACATTCAACTATAACTGAATATTATAATCATATTATAGAATATTATATATAACGATGTACAGATGATCAATTTATTATTTCTACATTTAATATTAAGTATCTCGCAAACGATTAATTTTTTGAGGAGTAATATGTAAAAAAATCGTACGATTCAATTTTAAAAAGTAAAGATAACTTTCATATCTTTTTAGTGCTTCCGCCTTAAAAAACAACGTGACCAAAATACGTCCATTTTTTAATCAAATATTTGTCTACATTTTTTAAAATAAAAAATAAAAAGTTTTTAGGGATAGTAAATTAAAATAAGTCATCCTATGTATTATACAGAATTATTATCACAGATAAAAATATATAATAATAATTATAAATATATAATAATAATGTAAGATATATTATGATTACAGAAGCGGGCATTTCAGAAACACAATTAGACAGCTTTCAATGGTTACGGAGGTGCCTGGAGCCACAGAATGAGGCTATTGTAAAATGGAAAGAGACTGCTTCTATAAGATTGTTAAAACTCAGAAGCATAGAGTATAAACGGAAAAAGGGCAAACAATTCATTTGTGAAATTACTGAATATTTCAATGAATTTTGTGTTTTGCGACAGCCTTGGGGTTATATTTTGGTAAATTATTGTTACGTAAAATTATATTATTTTATTTTTAAAATATTTTAAAATACTATTACGTTTCAAATTTCAGTTAGAACAAGATTTCAATCACTTATATCCAAATCATTCAATGCAACTTTTGACTAATTGGGATAAAGTTGTTGTAAATATAAAAAAACTTTTGAAAACTACTATAAGATCTGCGACTGTTGAAAGTAATACATTGAAATATTTTTCGCTTTGCTGATGCCTTCTTTCAATAAGAATTATTGCAAAGATCAACTTTTTTTCAGAGGAAACTGTGAAGATGCTGTTAGCAATCCCAACATTTTTCTCTCCAATAAATGTTGGAAAGTGGCGGCCTACAACTGTAGACTTAAATTCTGGTTTCCTATTGCATATCAAGGTACATATACGTGTTTTTGCATATAGGAATATTAAAGTAATTACTGGGTAGCGATCATATAACTTTTTTCCTAGAGTGGAAACGTGAAAAGTGAAAATTTTTTATATGTATGTGTGTATATGTATGAACATACATAAAAATTTTCACTTTTCACGTTTCTGCTCTAGTGAAAAAGTTACATGATCGCTATATCCTGAACTTTGACATGAAAACGCCTCCATTCAATTGCAAAATTCTCATTAATACATATAAATAATATTATCAGAGAAAGAAGGCAGTATAAAAAATATTTCTGGAAATATTCTTTTTAAAATTTCACAAATTTCCTTTTTTAGGCTTTTCGAGATTTGGAGGCACAAGTGGAACGCATAAGACAAAAACTTTTTGCTGCTAAGAAGCAACTTCAGCCGTTCCCTATCATCATTGGTGAAAATACAGCAAGCATAACCGAATCCTACGTTTACATCGATAACTTTCCGTATAAGGTAGAAAGCCCTTTACGTGCAATAGATGTGTGCTTCAAAGCATATCATGCATTGCATGTGTCCTATCCTTTCCAGAGTAGCCAGCCATGGCTTTTCCTTCAGCAAGCTATTTATCAATTAAAAACTCGATGGGATGAACATGTACCATCTGTCGCAACATTGGTTAATAATTATTTGCAGTTATCGGCTGATTAAGTTTGTTTATGAATTATAGTTATATACAATTATAATTTAAATTCCTAACTTATAATTAAAAACATTATTTTAATTATAAGTTAGGAATTTAAATTATAATTATATATAACTATAATTATCATGCATTGAGCTTTAATTAATGGATAGATATTTGTGAACGTTTATAAGATAAATTTATCAAAATGATAAAATGTGTAGGACAAAATTATAATTTAACTTTGACTTCTGTCAATGCTCTACAGTTGCATTTAAGTACAGCTCATAAATTTGACGAAATGACCGTATATAAGAGTCAAGTACCCCAATATTTATCAGATTATGATTCATGGAGAAAATTTCGAAAACATCTCATAACTTTTCATAAATTTCCAGCTAATCCTATTGTTAAGAGTCTTAATCAAAGTTGTGGTAATAGACATAATAGAACTGATTTACAAATGTCAGACTCTGATTCTGACATTGAAGACGTAATTTCTTCTGATGATATTGTTAATGAAATTTCAGTCTCAAAAGAATCTATCAATGACGAACTTCATAACTGCTTGCTACGTTATATTGCGAAATTGTATGCAGATCCTGCTTTGCCCCGAAGCCATGTTCAAAGTATAATGAATGATACAGCTGCCTTGTTCTTTAATATTATATCACTTCTGAAGCCTGTTATACAAGCAACTACGTGTAATGAAGCAACACAATTTAACGATATACAATTAAATATATTCGATATATTTGATACAGTTCTTCAATTATTTACAAATTTAAATTCTGATTACAATCGAATGAAAGCTTTGCAGGCAACACATCATTTTATTAAACCTATGCCATATACTGTTGGCAATATTGTAAGTGAAAAAAGAGTTGATGGATGAATCATTAAAGACATAATTCCTATATATGGCCAGTTTCTACCTGTTCGTACAATTTTGAAAGCTTTCTTTAATCTTCCAGGCGTATTTGACACCGTTTATAATTATATGGAAAATCTAATGCAGGAGACAGCTGTATTGTCCAACTTCGTTTACAGGGTAAATTATGGAGAAAAAAGAAAATGGATTATTTTTCTGATAAAATTGTTTTTCCTTTATTCGTTTATTACGATGACTTTGAAGTGAATAATCCTTTGGGGAGTCATAAAGCGATTCAAAAGATAGGAGAAACCTATATTAATATTCCATGTATTCCACAAGAATATCGTTCTGCATTGGATGAAATTTTTGTTGCTTTATTATTCCATACATCTGATAGAGCTCAGTTTCAAAATGCAGCTATGTTTCGCATATTAGTAGATCAAATTAATTTCCTTCAGGATTACGGTATTGTCTTATATTTGCCACAAGGTGACTAAAAAGTATATTTTGCTCTTGGTTTATTGATTGGGGATAATCTTGGACTCAATACAATATTAGGTTACTCAATGAGTTTTAATGCCACTTATTATTGCTGCTTTTGCACTACACGAAAGGAAGATTGTGAAAAAGATTGCTTTGTACGAAAAGAAAATTTAAGGTCAGAAAATTATTTAAACGATATCCATCGCGGTGTATCCAATTCTGGTTTAAATGAATATTCAATTTGGAATGAAATTAAGGGATTTCATGTTTATGAAAATTTTGCTTCAGATTCTTTGTTACATGAAATGGCAGAAGGTTGTCTACGATATGGAATGGGCCATTTGTTATATCATTTAATATTCAAAGAGAAACATTTTGCAATTCAAGCACTTAATGAAAGAATAAAAACTTTTGATTATTATATAAATGGATTTTCGAACAGGCCACCACTTGTAACAAAGGAGGAAGTGAAAAGCAAGCATTTAAGCATGTCGGGTACTGAAATGACAAATTTTTTCTTAACTTTCAGTTATTTGGTTGGAGATTTTGTGCCTTGCGGTAATAAATTGTGGCATTTTTATATTGTTTTATGCCAAATATTTGATATTGTTGCTGCTACTAATATTCAGAATGAAATATCGATATTGTTGGAGCAGCTCATTTTTGAACATCATACATTATACTAAGAGCTCTTTAGAGATAAACTCAAACCGAAGCACCATATTATGCTACACTTTCTTATGATGCTTGAAATGTCAGGATCTCTAGCTTTATTTAGTACAATGAGACAAGAATCTAAAAACAGACTTAACAAGATTCGTGCAAATGCCACGTACTCCAGAAGAAATATTACTTTTACATTAGCGATCAAAGAAGCCTTGCAAATGTCTTATAAATTAGTAAGTCAATTCGGATTTGTACGGAAATTTGAAATAGGACCAGGAAACATTTTAGACGAATCATCTGTAAACGAAAATTTAGATAATTCGTGCATTCCTATTGATTTTAGAGCAAATTGTATAGAGGTTCCATGGGTTGATTACAAAGGAACAAGATACAGAATTGGTACATCTATTGTTCTTGGGTCAGATAATTTTGAATTACCTATCTTTGGTGAGATTCAAAGAATATATTGCACGGAAGATTTTAAAGTTTGCCTTGTGTGCTTTTCTTTTAAAACAATTGGCTTTGATGAACGTGTACATGCGTTTAACGTTCAAATAAGTACTAAAATTTCTTACATTAATATTGATGATTTATTGGATTACACTCCAACTATTTCAGTTAGAATGAATGATGGCGAATATTTTATTTCCACAAGATATGCATTATAATATTGTACATTTCAAATGCAAGCTTATAATAACTTCAATTTGATATGATACATTTTTAATATGTCATTTAAAATGATATACTATTTCATTTATATTATTAAATTCAAATTATACGCTTAAAGTGTATATCATTTGAAATTGAAGTTATATTATAAGCTTGCATTTGAAAATAATTTTCATATTACTTCCTGTTACCATCAAAATTGGTTACAGCAATCAATTCTAAGCTACACCCAATTTGTTTTTAATGTAATAATAGCCATAAAATAAGTTGAAAGATCTGTTATTATGGAAATATGTAATAATGTTACGTTATAATATTTTTATTGTTATGCTTTAATAATAACAGTACAATTTTTTTAAATAAAATACTGAAGAATTTTTTAAATAAATTTTATAAACTGTCCACAAATAAAGTATATTTTACTTCTCCACTGACGGTTTCTACATTGATTAGGTACTTTAATTATTATCATACAAAAAGAGTTGCTTATACGGTAACCAAAATTTGTGTGTCTAGATAAAATAGTTGTAATGAATAGACAACTGGGAAAAAAATATTTCGTATATAATTATATATAATTATATATAAAATTGACATAGTTGATATATAATTATATATATATATATATAATACGTTTATTATAAAACATTTTTTTCCCAGGCACCTAAAAATATTATTGCGTTAGACACTTTTTTATTATACAAAAGCAAATTTTCTTGCTATTATAAAACATAACAACATATTAATTTTTGCTCCTGCAATTAAAAATGTAGTTAACACAGCAATAGTTTAAGATGTTCATATATTACAATAACTTTTTGCAAATGATTTCAGCAACTCCGGTGAAAAAATCGTAGAAATTGCTGAAATCTATAATATCAACCGACTCACTTTCAAGTATACAATTTCATTAATATAATATAATAAATCTGCAAAAATATATTAAATAAATTTTTTTTTATATAGATTTCAGCAATTTTAGCGATTTTTCCACAAGGAAACCAATTAAAATGATCGTAATAATATGCACAGAGTGGCCGATACGTAGGAGTCAGTTAGCTGGAGTACACTGAAAGAAAGATTAGCTGCATCAAATTAGATGGTAAAATATGGCATAGCATGTTTAATTGGTTGCAACAACCAATTTTTGATTGTTGCAGCCAATTAAAAATGCTATGCCATATTTAACCATTAATTTGCTGCAGCAACCAATCTTTTCTTTCAGTGTAGCCAAGTAGTTAGACCACCGCGCGGAAGTTATTTATTTGTAGTAACCAATTAATAAATCATCATAAAGTAAGCAGTTGATTGGAGTAGCAAAGTCACGCATTCACACCAACCAAGTTTACAGCAGCTTTGAAAATTGCTGCAATCAATGAAAATGTTGTGCCATATTTTACCATCAAAATTGGTTGCAGCAACCAATTCTAGGCTACAACAGCCAATTTTTTTTTTTAGTGTAGCTGATAACAACGCGATTATCCAATTTTATTATAAATTTTTGTATTTTTATAAAAGAAGATTTATTATAGAGTATTTTAAATTCACTGTATATACATATTTGCAACTATTGTAAAGATTAAATTGATATTTTTACAAAATTCATCAAGTTTTCTAAATCGTACCATCAAAAGATAAGGCTGATAACTGACAATAATAAAACTAATAATTGATATCAATATAAATATTAAATGCAAAAATATAAGCAAATTTTTTTTGGTGTCATTTGTTCTTTTTTATTATTGTTATTTAATAATGATAAAATATTTGATTTTCTTCACTAAATTATTAAAATTAGGTATTAATTAATTATTAGGTATTAGTTAATGATTTCTTTTATTAATCTTATATTTTTAACTGTTTTCATTCATAAATTCAAT